TCTCTGATCCACTGTCACTACTGGACAGATGTAAACCCAGGGTGATTTTTGCAGTACATGAGGTTTGGCAGGTGCTATAGAAAAAGATGAGTTGAAGGAAGATCTTCAGCTTAATTTCGAAAAGGTAGAAAGGATATTCTAGTTTCATTGCAATTGTGTTGCATTGTGAAAAGCATGCACCATTGCTGGACCATCAGCAGAAAAAGAGTGAGTAGCTGGAGACTGATGGCGTTAAAAAAAATGCAGAATGGAAATTTCTTAAATGTTGTGTATAGCCCAACAGATCTTTGCAGATGTTAAAATTCACATTAATCTCAACCTGCTTGTATGTGAAACTGGCTATTTTGAAGCTCATTTTGAGCAGACTCATTTGGGCTGAAATCCTTCAGGAGAAAAAAAAGGAAAGCAAAGAAACCAAACCAGGCTGCCTCATGAAACTCCACTTGCCATCCAGATAAAATATCTGTTGTTCTGTTGCTTAATACAAAATGTCCTAGCTGCTGTGTTTAAAGTCTTACTTTAAAATGGGTACTGGGAATCCCTTTAGCGCAAGACTGGAAAACCCGAAGGCATTATCACGTAGAGAGAATACATTGTTCTGCTCCCAGGTTCTAATTTTCAAAGGAAGCAGCAACAACATTAAGTTCATTAGACTCTCAGTGGCACGTATGACCTTTAATATATTTACTGAGCATAACCACATTGGTTTGCATAGCAACAAAGAAGGAACAGTTGATATCAACTTTCTCAAGGTTAGATGCTTGATTCTGTTGAATAGTGTTCTTAAAGGCAATAACAGTGTTATGTCATTTTGGTGAGTTACTTCCTCTAAAAGTGCCTCTTTGCTATTGGCTGTATGTGAGCATGAGCTCGTTATAAAACACTTGTTTATTTGGTGTATTTCTGTTTTTGAGGTAGACAGATGTAATTACTGAAGCAGCAAGCAGGATTCTCATCCCTGCTATGTTTCATCTTAAAACAACGGGTCTGATATTGATGTTTTATGAAAATTGTATTCCTTCACTCTCTTTGAGGAATTTACACTGATGCAGTTAAAAGCAGAATTTCCTGAAGGGTTCCTAGCAGGATGTGTTTGAGCCAAATAAAATAACCACACAATCTACAATCTGATTGCTATATTGACACTTTTGTTCTTTTTTTAAAATGTAAAATGAGCTTTACCTCCCATATCTCCAGTCTTAATTTATATTTTTCCTCTTTTTCTTTATTTTTTAAGGCAATTGCACCTTTATTGGAAAACAACCATCCTCCTCCTGACCTCTGTGAATTCTTCTGCAAGGTATCACAACAGAATACCTCTATTTGTGAAATCTCTCTTTATTTTTTTTCTCTCCTTTGATTTCCATCAGAGATGGGTACCTAATTGTCGTTAAAGGTAAAGGTCATTAAAGGCTGCGTTTAGTTGCAGCAAGGGAAATTGTGATTCTGTGTTGTGGAATCTGCCTTCTGAGAAGTACTCCCTGGACAAGGCCTTTAGTGAGCAAATGTAACTTCAAAATTGGCCTTGCTTTGAGATGGAGGGTTTGAGGACATGGCCTCTAAAGCTCCTTTCCAACCTGGGCTGCTCTGATCAATGCATAAAAGTCTGTGTTGATGGGAGAGAGGTTTGTTGGTACCCTGCAAGGTCGACCAAGTTTTTATCTTGAATCTCATTGAAAGGCAGTTTAGGAAAGCTTACCAGGTTGCATTAATCTTGAAGTAATCCGGGCACTGGCTGTGAAGCCAGGGTCCAACTTCACAGTTTCTGCAGCTCACAAGATGACTTCTTGCTCATTACAGCACTGCCGAGAGCGTCCTCGGTCGATGGTTGTCATCGAAGTGTTCACCCCGGTGGTACAGAGGATTCTCAAACACAACATGGTGAGGAACTGTGTTACGGGAACCTGGGCAGTTTGGAGATGTTTTTTTAATTGTGATACCTTGTGTAATTAGCAGTCGCTCTTTTGCCCACAATGCACAAAACTGTGATTTATTTAAACTCCCCAAGTGTGAATGCTGCATGTAGCTACGTGTTGCTTTGTGGATGCAGAACTGTAAGCTTTCAGTGGGGTTTTCAAAAGTGTCTCAGCAAAACCATGATTTAATGAGCATTTCTTTAGGCCACAGTGCCAGCTTATGCAGCTCCAGCTCTCTCCTGCCTGGCCCTTTGCTCCTGTGTATGTCCCTTGTGCATCCTTGGAGTTATAACATGAATCTGGTTAAAAAGCAATTTCCGTTCAACAAGAACAGAGACTTCCTTGATTTTTGAGCTTAAGCCCCTCAACACTTTATTTAAGATACCACCAGCTATCCTGAATGGCATTTTTCTTTAGACTCATGTTGAGTTCTTACTGAAATTTCCTGACTTTATGATTTTCTGCTATTATCCTTCGTTGTTCTTTCTAGGAATCATAAACTCTGTCATTTTATGGTTATTTTATGGTCATTTTTATCCAAGCTGCCTTCCTTCTTTCCCAGTCAATTCCTTTCTAGTGATTGGAATAAATGCTAGAAGAGTGCCCCGCCAACTTGCTTCTTTCACCCTGTGTACTAAATTTGCTCCTGATTATGAAGAAATGCTTAGATGATGTGCATTTCTTTCCTAAAGAGGCCTGGGTGTTTACGAGCTGTTTACAAACTCTGAGGCATCCAAAGTTTCCAGCTGCAGTTTGTAATTTGTGCAAAGAGATTTTGCTTCACAAAGCTGTAGCAAGCAGTAACGAATAAATATTATATTTAAGGCAATTCACTTCTCAGAGATCTCAGGGATGGTTTTCATACTTCTGTAAATACACAAATTATTTTCACTAACTGGTGCAATTTTAGAGACCATCCACTGTAGCCCTGTGTACAGCATGAATCCAGTAGAAAACAGTTCATATTTCTTACTTTTACTACAGTATTATTATTTAACTCATGCAGTTTGCAGAGCTAGCTAGAGAGCCTAAGATTGCTGAAAGGTCGTATTCCTGGCACTGTGCCTGTGCTCTCCAGACATGTAAACATTTTGGAATATTCTGTAGTGTTCAGTGAAATATTCTGTAAATGTTATTCTTGGATTCCAGACTGATTTTTTTTTTTTTTTTAAGAATCCAGAGCTCTTGAGGGGTCTCAAATAAAATCTAAATGCATAGTGTAATGCTTGTGTTTGGTTACCTTCGGAGAATTGGGTATATTTACCATACTTAACATTTGCAGATTGAAAATCAACATGTCTGTACCGCAGTGTGTAGTCAGAGAATTTACGGTGTCGTATATAAATTGGAGTGGATTTGGGCACTTTAGGGCTCTCCAGGGAGTTCTGTACTGAATAATCCTTTAGAGAGAGAGAAGGGGTAGGTGTATGCGTGTGTGCATACGTGTAGATAAAGCTAATTATCTTTTAGGACAATTAGCAATGTTGCCAGTAAACTGTATAACCTTAGGAAGCCACATGCAGTGTGCTCACGGCAGGAAACTGAACTTTGTGATCATACCTGTACCATTAATTTGTTCTGTCTTTTGATAAGTTCATGACAGGTTCTGTTCCACAGTTTCCCACCTAAGAAATAGGAGTCCTCATTTAGCTATCACTTTGAAATGTCATTTTTTTTATATTACTGATTCTGTGGGTTCCCTGCAGGACTGGAGATGTGTTGTTCCAGGAGTGCTCATCACCCTCTCAAGTACTTTGGTTTAAAGAGAAACTCAGCTGTTTGTAGGCTGAGCCAAATACTTGATTATAGGCACCATTGCTGTACTTGTAGGAGCAGACAATATAGGTTGCATGTATTATTTTG